TTCACTCTTTCCTCTTGCTCTTGCTCTTCTCTCGCTTTCGTTTCTTCCGAGTTTCTGCCGAGTTTCTCAGTGCCTCCTTCGAGCGCCGAGTATTTACGGCACACTCTATGTGTGTCCAACTCTGTGTCCAAGAGCAATTTTTAAAGGTGTCCAGTGTCCAGCAGGGGACCAGGCAGGGTACATCGTCGCCTGGTCAACGAAGCTGGCGATGTATCCGAGGATATGGAAGTGAGACGCCGCTTCCACATAGCTGCTTTTGTTTGTGGCGTTGACAAGCTGTTACCCCACTCTTCCGAACAAGGGCCACCGAGTCACTCTTTGTTTAACCGTTCTTTTGCGCTGACTTCTCGCCATACCATTGCGCAAGTCAAGGTCTATAATTGGCTGCAAGGTCAAGGGCTAGTGCAGTGGCGAATCAATACTGAAATTTATGTTCATTCAGTTGAGCTATATATCTAAGTGTGTTGCGTTGCTCGCAATATTGATCGAACTGCGCTAAATTTCTAAATGTTTAGACCTTCATGTACGTTGCTGGCAAACTGCATGACTTCTTGTCGCTTTCAAGCTCAGCAATTCTTGGGCCGAGAGTGCACGGCAGAAGTTCGTCCAACTTTCAAGACAAGGACCAAGAAATGACAAGTAGCTTCAACTGCCAGTAGTCATTGAAGTGCACGCTTTTCTTAACAGCCAGGCTGCAGGTGATGAACCAATCTCTCCAAAAACTTAAGGCACAACTTCTATTCAAGCGCCTGGCATGTCACTCTCACTAGCTGGGGATCACAGAGCCATCACTTGGCACCTGAATGAGTCAACAATGGAGCTGCCTGAAAAGCTGGTTGGCAGTCCTGACCTTTGCATGTGGTCAAATTCTTCCAACATGTGTACCCAGTGCTTTCCAATCTTGAGCTGAGAGTGCGACCCTTGGGCTTCTCATAAGCCTGTGACAGTTTCTTGGTAAAGCAAACCACACAGGTCCGAAGGTAGCAGAGGGATTCTTGTAGAAAGAGGTCGAACACTGCTGCTGCCAATCACCTCATCGTAAGTCTCGTCCCAAGTCCACTTCAACAATGGCCTTAGCAACAAAAATTAAAGTGTTGAATCTAAAGTTTAAACCCTCTGCAGAAGCCTGTTTCTAATCTTGGAGTTAAACACATAAATTGACGAACAGTAGTGGGAATCGCTTTGCCATCATGTGAGGCCCCCTGAAACAAACAAACAAATCATAGTTGTGGACAAACGCAGCCACATGGGCGACGAATCACTGTCTACACAAGCCCGGAGGCCTGGCAGCAAAACACAGAAGAAGCGGAGGCAGAGTGGCCGGAGTACAAGAAATCTTGCCTCTTGGAAAGCACCCCAAAGTTTCAGCATTTATCTTTAGCCGCTTTGGCACTTCACCTCAAAGAAGCAGGCAACGGATACCCCCTCAGCAACCTCCTCAGCACTTTAAAGCACTTCCGGATACTGAATTTAACCATGTGCTCCTGGATCACAGCTTTGGAATGGGATTGAAATTTTGGTGCGAATCTGGCACGTCAAGAAGCTTGAGAGAGCAATCTGCCCTTCAGCCCGTTTCTCTTAGACCGGCAGTTCTTGGCAAACTGCCAGTGCTGTGATCTCATGCACAAGTGTTGTACAGCAAGTTTCTCAACACCTTATCCAACACCAGCACCTCTGTCGGGAAGCCAGCTCAGCAGCTCAGCCGATTGCTACGTCCCTGTCGAACCAAGGCCAGTTGACAACGCCTGGCTCAAAAGTAGATGTTGGCGAGACGTCAACGCCATGCACCATGCGGCGCCCTAGCAGTTCCCGTGGTAGTGCTTGTGCTGAATTTCAGCGGCGCAAAAGCCCACAGTGCCCAGTCATGCTGGCGGGGACCAGTTCTTTTTTCCCAGCCGTACCCCACACTGACATCAGTCATATGCATGCAGGGCGTTGGCGTATATAGTCAAAAGAAGCCGTGGCATATTTAAGCATCAGACAGTGCGAGTGAAGGATGCTATATATATATATACGTGAATCTTCAGCAACAGTTTCTGTGTAATCATAACCTCCTAAGATATGTTCAAGAGTGTGCTTTTTTGCGTAACGCAGCTAATTTTGTCTCGGGCGATGGACTCGTTTTTTACATAAGAAACTCTGAGTGCACAATTGGGCTGGAAAGATATTTGGCGCATAGGATCTTCGTGGTTAGCCCTGAGCACATGACCCAAAAACTTAGATTCTTTTTGGAGATATCATTGGCTGAAAGGTTCGAACGCCTCGATTTGGGTATGCCAGCGGTGTACATCTACTCAGAACTTATCCATTTGTGTTTCTTCTGTCTATGACGTTGATGGAACCATGAAAATTCTCCTCAGGTACCGTAGTTGGAAGGCCTCAATTTTCTTCAGCATGGCTTCCGTGAGGTGTACAGTTTCAAGCACATAAAACAAGTTTGATCCAACAACTGCATCAAAAATAAGCAGTTGCCAGTTCACATTTGCATTTGCTTTGCAGTATGGCAGCAATTTGAACCAGGTTTGTCTTACTTCTTGCACTTTGTTCTTCGTGTCGGATGTGTGCTTCCTTGTGGGTTTCGTTTCCTAAATAAGTCGCTTCGAACTTCTTTGGTAATGGTTCATGATATTCAACATGGACCAAACCATCCTTCTTCATTTGTATCACCACACACTTGTCTTAGTTTAGCCGCAGTCCGTATTTGCAGGAGAATAGTTTCAGTGAGCTTTAACACTTCATTCAACGCCCTGCTGTCAGTAGAAAAATGAATGGTATCATCTGCATGGTAAACTAAATCAAAACCCAGATTTGGGACTCTGCCATTGTGTACCCGTCGACTGATGTTGGAGCGAATTTCAAAATCCACACAAAACATCACAACAACAAACAAATAGGGGAAAGGGATGATCCAAACTCACAAGAAATGTTGGTTTTTCACAGCAGTCGCGAATGATATCGCAATAATGTTGACTAAACCTTTTTGGTTGGAAAGCGACGATTAGTTTATCGTGTTGCACAAGGGGCTAGACTTAATCGGGCACCTTTTGACTCGGCGTAGTCTTGGAGTCTGCGAATGATATATGTGGCATGGGATGTTGATCTTTGAGGCCGAAATCCGTACTGTGTATTGGATAAAGCATTGTTAATAGTATTTTGCATTCTTTGACGATCATATATATATAGAGAGAGAGAGATGGGTCTATAATTGGCAGCATTGTCGGAATCTCCTCTCTTGAAGAGGGAGACAACCCTCGCAAGAAAATGCTCTGTAGGCGCTTCCTTACATCGCCAGCAGCTGTTGATGAGGCTTAATAGGAACTGTCGGTCGCCGCGGTTTAACCATGCCAGCAATTCCACTTGGAGGCCATCTGGGCCCGGTTGTTTATTGTCTTTAGTTGACTTTAATGCTGCGTTCAACTTTTCAAGAGCGAATACACTTTCATCTGCCCCGCTATTCAATAATAAGATTGGCGCAGCATGCGGCGTTCCTGGTTTTAAATGGTGTTCCCAGTGTTTTGACTCGAGGTAATTGGCAATGGTCTGCGCCCTCTCTACTATACTATAGGCACATGTTTTCCATGTTCGTTTTTCATCTGAACATACTGCAGTGGATTTTTGTATTAACATTTTACTGCCTTCCACAATCCTTTCTTGAGTTGTCATTGTCGTACCTCTTGCGAGGACCCTCCGTTGTTCTTAAGTAAGTTGGTTTCTTTTGCAACTTTTACCCATGTGTTTCTTGAAATATATGAATTATTTCTTTTCTATTGGTATAGCTTCCAAAAATATGTTCAGCAGCGCGCAAGATACCTTCAACAGCTTTTTGGCACAAAGACTGCTGCGACACAGATTGAACACATCCAGAGTTGACACAATTCCACTCCAGCTAGAGTAGGTTTCAGGAATTTCTTAGTCTTAGACGTCTTGGGCTCTTGCACGCGCTTGTTGGGTTTTATCTCGAATTCCGCTTCTACTACTAAATGATCCGAACCAAAAGGAGTGTCTCGCCGGCTTTGGGCATCTGCGCACGCAGTTCTCCATGTCGAATTTGTCAGCCAGTAGTCGCTTTTTGCATGTCTGTAAGCATCAAAAAGGAGCCAAGTTTAGAATTATATATATATATATGTTAATCTTCTTTGTACGTTATCAACCTATCTAAGTTTCGAAAACTGACTGTTCAGGATCTTGAGATGATGCGTTTTGCACCAATGTGCCCTGCTTTCTTTTGCTTGGTCACTCATGTTGTTCAGGTATTCCATTCCTCTCCCAATTATGTACGGGCCACAAACATCAGTGTCCACTTTTGTACGTAATGGATAAACATCAGTGTCCACTTTTCGTAGGTAATGGATCCTAGCGTTAAAGTCCCCACCAATGATATACCTTCCATGACAGGATGTAACTTCTGCAGATATGTATATATAAATAGATATATAGATAAGTGTGTTCATAAAAAGTGTCCTTGTCCTTGGTTGAACGGCTGTCTGGGGCACATGCGCATATCATTAAAACATCAAGCCCGTGACACGAAAAGGTAATGGACATAATGCGGCCTTTTCTTTGGTGTACATGCGTAACGGAGTTTAAGACTATAATGCCTACCCCTGCATGTTCAAAATCCGCGGCAAGTCGATGGCTGGTCTGAGCTTCTATAGTGCGCTCCCCGAGGGCAGGATTCTCTCGTTTTTTGCGTTCCTGGTCTCGAATCGTGGATTCAATACCATCCCTGTTCTCAATACAGCTTATATATATATATTATAAATTCGGCTTCCGTTTTTAAAGGAACCTTATACTCACGCTTTTTCATGAGGTTAGTTACAGTTAAAGTTAAAGATGTCTTTTTCGTTGGCTGGCTCAGTCCTCTAACGTTCAACGTGGCAGCTTGCTTCCTTTGTGGGCTCAGTTGCTTCATCTGCTGAAGGCGCTCACGTGCTGTTTGTGCAAATGTTGTTCATCTGGTCCTTTTATCACTCGTTGTGGTGTGTAGCTGCTATTTCATATAGCGCCTTCGAAGTAGATGAGCTTCTTGTCCTCAAAATTGTTCTTGTGGTGATAGCCTGTTTTTCTGCAAGTTCTGTCTTCTTGCTTGCTTCTGTATCATCGTCTGCTTGTTCGAAGGATATGGTTTTTCCTTGTGGTGTCTGTGGTTCTGTTTCCTCTTTTCTCTTCCCTCCTCTTTATCTCTGCCTTTTCTCTGATATCTTTCTTCTCTGCTAAATGCGGCTTTCTTACTGCCATGGCTTAATGGCGGTTGCCTGCATGACTTTGTCTAGTTTCTCTTGAGCCCAAACCCCTTTAAGGACATTAGCTATTCTTTCCTCAAGTGAAAAGAAGTCTAACAAAGAAAAGAGTGTAAGTTGCAGAACCTGGACAGGGTAGAACCTTAAAGCTTTCATGGTTCAAAGGGTGCCAAAGCGCAACGGGGGAGAAATGAAATGCACTGCCATGTCGCGTCAACCTATCTTTGTGTTTCAGAGCCGGACGCTTGCTCGATCTGTAAAATTGCGCAAGAAACACTTGCTTAATTCTTGGCCGACCCTGCCACCTACTCAGCGCGACACTGCTCGGTAAAAATGTGGCAGGGGCCTGGCCTCAGCTGCTTGCTGTTCAAGGCCTTTTTTCTGAAAATGCTTTTATAAAAGCGCATGAGGCCAACTCGAAGTTTTGCAAAACACTTTGGGCCTGTCGATCATGTCATCCAGGAACAAGGCAGTGTAAGGAATGACAGTACCTGCTGCAAACTCCCGGACGCTTGGAGAACAAAGGGCATTACTAGTAGTAGCTACTGGCGCCCGTTGAAGTTAATACATTTTGCATGTGGGATACTAAACCACCATGGAACGCCGATTTGCAAAAGTCAGTACTTAAGTCAAGACTGCTGGCCTTCCCCATTGTAAACGCTACATACAGAACAAGGTTCTCCAGATTCACCTTTCCCAAAAGAGAAAACATCAACTGCAAATCCCAATGGCAACGCAATTTGGAGAGCTACCCGGCGTGGTAACTTACCCCTTCGCACATGAACTTGACCCACCCCCATGGCACACCGCTTACCCCACGAATGTAAGAACTTACCCCATTTGGACAAAATGGCACACCGCTTCCAGACAAGCACTTTTTCTCCTAGATTGTTTCTAAACCTACACTATTCCATTGCGATTCAACCTTCTACATGTTGATGTTTTCAAAGGCTATCTATGGGTTGCCGTGATCCAATCCCCATGGCACCCCGATTCTGACCCACATGTTGGTACCAGCTTTAAGTTTCTACCTGGAGTGCAAACAGCATGGAATTGTTCTTTAAACGTCAAAAATGTCTATGCGTTCTTGTGTGTATTCCTCTCCCAATCCCCATGGCACACCGCTTCGAAACAAGCACTTTTTCTCCTAGCCTAGATTGTTTCTAAACCTACACCATTCCATTGCGATTCAATCTTCTACACGTTGATGGGTTCTAAGGTTTCCTATGGGCTGAAATGATCCAACCCCCATGGCACACCGATTCTGTGACACCACACCGTGACTAAGTCACGGCAGAGTCACTTAGTTTTCGCCAAAACCATGCTTTCCAAGCCCAGTTTACAACCGGACACTGCCACAATGATTGGGTTTGTGCAACAACAGCCAGGAGCAAATGAGTAGGCTTTGTAGCGCAGGCAGCGGCAGCGGCAGCAGCAAGCAGCAGCCAACCAGCAGCAAAACAACACCAACAACCCAACAGCAGCAGAAGGTAACCAGCAGCAAGGCAGCAGCAGCAGAAAACCAGCAGCAGACCGGCAGCACCAGCGAAGGTAGCCCAATCAAGCTTTCCCCCAAGGGCACACCTCATCTGGCACAAGTTCATGCCACTCAATAGCGTGCCCGCTTCACAGCGGAAGCCAGGTTTCCACGAGGACCCTGCTTCCGAGGGTTGGCCCTATAAGTAAGCCCTTGGAGGGTTGGACATATGAGACCCACAATCCCAAGATGAAGGGGAACCTATGGGCTGCCTATAGAAACCTCTAGAAACAACCTATGGGTTGCCTGCCAACTTCCTTTTGGTAGGTCTTGTGCAATCAAAACACTGTGAACGCTGAGTAAACCAAGCCCATTGAATAAAACCATGCATTTAGAAAACATCTTCCAACGCACTCTATCCTGCAAGGAAACGCTATAGTGTATCGACTTCCTGGTTTGCTCATCACCTTCTATCTGCTATTTGAAAAAAAGCGCGTCTCGACTTCAACAACTGGCAGTAGAAGCTACTTTTTTGGTTAGTCTTTATGTCTTGCCCAAATGCAAATCCTGTACACTGAGCAGGACGCACCATCTCGCAACCGGGTGTGCTGCTTGTTCAGCTGACAGTCCATCAAGTGCTTGGTTCGACGCCTTTGCAGATTTGCGCGGAAGTGTTGCTTGCTCGTAGTTTGTGGACAGCAATTGCTCGCGCAAACTTGATTGTAGATTGATGATTTGCCTCGGTTGCCTCGGCTTGAGTCTCTACCCCTGTGGACCTCGCACCGTGTGATAACCTCGCTAGAAGCTGCAACTTAGTCCTCAACGCGAGGTCATCAGTCTCCTTGTACCGGACGAAGCTGGTACGGCCTTGATGTCGAACGGAGTTTCTGTGGGTTTTCCGTATTCACCGTTCTTCCCCATTCCCAGCTTGCAAGATCCACACCCAAGCAGAAGTTGGTCTCCTCAATGGCCCAGTCCGAACTCCTGTGAAGACACAGAAAATGGCATCTGCCAACAAACAGTTGCTTGGTTTGGTCTTTTTTACTGTTTGGTTGCAAGCATAAAGGACATACACGTTCGGCGCACTTCTTCACGAGTTGGTCATCCGTCACTTCTTGACCCTCATAGGCTGAGAAGAACCTGCCAAAGTGCGCAAGCTTACAAAGAACAGAAGTAAACAGCAAATGCCAGCCAGCGCATAATTGATTAAAAAAAGAACACCAACACAAAAGAACAAGCAGGACGAATAGTCTTGGACATCAAATATAACTTTGAGCAAATGGCTGCTAGTATACGGTCACTACTAAACGCTTTGAGGGTTCACTTCGCACCTCTGTCCCAGCGGCACAAATGCAGCTACTGGGGCTTTGCCCAAAATTGGGCGAGACACCAAAGAACCGAATCGACGTGCTGTTGGAACAAGCCTGGCTGCAAGACGTGAAACAAGTCTCACTTTGGAACGATTGACATCGCTTGAGTTTCATTGTGTGAAACAACTGCTTCTTTGCTCGATGTTGCTTTGCAAGATGGCCAAATCAATCAGCCGTTGCGTGAGCTGCACATGCCAGCATGTCAACCCCTTGTACCAGGAAAAATCTAAAGCCTACTAGTACTTGGGGAAGTGTGGGGTTTTGCAGCCTTCACCTGAGTTGTTCGCTTGGTGTGCTCTATTTGTTCGTCCTGCTACAGCCACTGTCAGGTGTTTTGTCTTACAAATGCTAACAGAATAACTGAATTATCCATCATTCCCTGGCTTCTATTGCTTACTGCTGGCTTTGTTTTCCTAACCTACGTTGTTCAATTGTGGTTGCATCAAAGATGCCGAAGGCGTTCTTGGCGCTGTGATTGCCACAAAGTATGCAAGGCTCTTCGCGCAAAGAAATAAAACCAGCAAAAGCCCATTGCTTCTTGCAATCCCAGGACCGTTCTGCCATGTGCGGAAGTCCAAAAGCCGAGACAGGGTCCTGAACCAGAAAGAACCAAGCCGTTATATATATATATAGTTAAATACATTTATATATATATATATGCAAGTGTTCACTTGGACGATCATCCCACGATAGCTAGTGTAGTGATCGAGTCGCACCGCGACCGAAGTTCTTTTGGTACAAGACATCCAGCAGACGGAAAACCGCCTGACGAGTCGCACTCACGCCATTCCGCATCGGTGTCCACGGGATCCAGTACCTTCGAGCTTGACACCTCCGGGCTACCGTGCATGGTAGCGGAGCCTCACCTCGCGTGAGGCTCCAAAGATCTAGGGACCTTCAGCTCCTGTCGCCTTGCCACAGGAGACACTACGGTGCCATGGAGAAGACCTATATGCAGATCGAGCGCAACAAGGAAGGCGTCCCATGTTGGGACGGCAATGCAGCGACGTTTCAAGAGTATGCCGAGATGGCAAGTCACTGGGAACAGTCAGTGCCCATCCACAAGCGATACCTTTGTGGCCCCAAGCTGCAAGCAGAGCTGACCGGAACGGCAAGGAGATTTGTGATGTCCATGAAACCTGGATGGATCTCCTTTGACGGTGGCGTGCAAACGCTCTTAGACCACCTTCGCAAGCACCTAGGTCAGCCTCAGCTCACCGAGATGTCGGAGTACATGTCCAAGTACTTCAAGATGACCAAACGCCGCAGGCAAGAAGGCATGAACGACTACATCACTCGGAAAGCTGAAATATATGCTCGGGCCTGTCAAACTTTGGATCGTGTACAACGTCGCTTTTCACCCACATTGGCCAGCGTCTGACCGGAAGTGCCCCCCGGAGTGATTACAGCAGTACACATACAGTACAGCCTCCCACAAATCAGGACTATACCCCTGAGGAGCAGACCTACTATGATGTCCCGGACGAGGAGCAAGAGGCCTCAGCCTCAGCTGAGAACTGGCCGAGTTGGAGCCATTCCTGGTGGCAATCTTCGGGAGATTGGCATCATCAAGAATGGCAAGGGCAAACTCACAGCTGGCACTCAACCTCACAAGGGCCATCCTATAGCAACGACCATTCATGGCAGACAGAGGCTCCTGACCTGTTGCCGTCATTCGTACAAGGCTGGTTCCTGCTCCAGGATGCAGGATTAGAAGTCCATGAACGAAACTTGGTGATGACAGCCCTGAAGAATGACTTCTCTGTCGAACGAGTATCTCAAGAATTGAGGAATCAGTTTCCTGACCACGAACTACGACATCGAGATCCTCATGGTCGCTCTTCAGCTATGGCTGCCGAAGAATGGTCAGAAGATGAAGCTTTGGCTCCCTCTGACCTGAGCATGCTCGCTCAGGAAGGCATGAATGACCAAGGCCTGATTTTGATGGAAGAGGCCGAGGAGAAAGACAGCCTGATCAGTTTCCTCAAGACGGAACTCAACACCTTCGTGGGTTCCAACGAGACCATCGCACAGCTGAAGAAACGCGGCATTTTGGTCGCCTACGATCGGGCTCCAGCATCTCCAGAGGACCCAGTGGGCTTTGGGATGCATGCGGCAGCCTCCTACCAGGAGATCATGGATCAGCATCCCAAGTACGCCGATTGGGTGATCTCCACCTACCAGGAAGGCCAGGCAGATGCCCGGCTCAACCGGCTGGCATGTTGGCTGCTCAAGGCCCAGAACCAGCAAGAGGAAGTCTCCAAGGTGAAGCCATACCCAATCACAGCCCAAGAACTCAGGGACCAGGGATACCTCCGATCCTCCAAGGCGAAGCCCAAGGGCACGGCTCCCAGCCAGTCAGCCTCCAGCCTTGTCTCGGAAGATCATACTCAGACCTCCGTGACATCCAGCAGCGCTTCTCAACAGGTGCTGGGGGAGCTCCTGGGCGCTTTCAAGGAGCTGATCGAGGAAGTCCGGGAACTACGTGCAGCCAGCACCCCGGACAAGCATCGCAAGAAGGGAGCCAGCTCGGACAGCGACTTCACGCTGGTGGCTTCGAAGGAGACGAAGTGAACGCTGTTTGTGAGGGGCTTAGCACCTGTTCGCTTCTTAGTGATCCTTCAGCTGCATTAGGTGGGCTACCTAATTCCCAGGAAACACAACACATGTCTCGTCAAGAAGCTTGCTCCTTGGAACGTGAATGTCATGAACTGTTCACCATTGACATGTTTAGACAACCTGGGAAATGCATATTACTGGAGATCGCTTGCGGAACTGATAGTGTTTTGACCTCTACTATGCAGAGCGTCCGTAGGGATGAACAGGCCGCACGTCGACTTTCGATATGGAACGGTTTTGATCTCACCACCAACTCGGGCGTTCGTGCTGTCATCGAACAAATCGACATGCTTGATCCTGAACATGTGTGGCTCTCTCCCGACTGCGGACCGTACAGCCAGATGCAGAATCTGAACCAACGAACGGAAGCACAAAGGGAAGCTTTAGCCGCCAAACGGAAAAACGCGTTGAAACAATACGTCGGATGTTCGATCATTTTTCAGCACTGCATTCAGAGAGGTAAACATGTGACTTGGGAACTGTCTCAAACCTGTCAGGCTTGGAGATTACCTCTTCTTCAAAACATTCAAAGGGAACAGAGGGTCCATGTGGTTGTCACTAGGGGTTGTTGTGTGAACTTGAAAGACAATAAAGGCCAATATGTTTCTAAAGGTTGGAAACTGATGACCACTCATCCCCTTTTGTCCACGAGGATGGACCTCCCATGTAGATGTTCGAGCCACGTGAAACACACGCCATGTGAAGGAAACCTCACTCGTCGTTCGGCCTTCTATACGAAGGAATTCGCGGTTCGAGTGTGCCAGGCCATTTTGCATAGGGGACAGGACCACACGTTAGGTATGGAACTTCAGGGTACCCTGAATTTTGGGGAAATGTTCGGCTTGGGAACCAAGTGTTTGTGTCATGAAGGAAAACAACATGAGGCCCAGTTGACGTGTGGACACTGCATCTCACAACATGTGGAGGTCCTCCAGGAAGGCCTCGCTGCGGACAAACACAAGAAAGAGTTGGAACATGACATGTCTAAAGAAGAGATCCAACGCCGTTTGTACTTGCTTCATGCGGCCACGGGACACGGACCGACACGACATCTTCTTCAGGTTCTAAAACGCCGAGGTGTTCCCCAAGCAGTTGTGAAAGAGGCTGAAAACTTCAGCTGTCCTGTTTGCCCAACCTAGGAATCTTGCGTCTTTGGAACCCCTTCCCAAGAAATTTGCTGTGGTGAATGCTGACGTGGGTCACTGGTACCATCCGGTCACTAAAGAGAAATGGCAGTTCATTGTTTTTGTGGATGAAGGGTCACGATTCAAAGTGGCACGGCTGGTGGCTCAAGGCAAGAAGCAACACCTCTCAGCCGCGCAATTCATTTCCGTGTTTCGTGAATCCTGGGTAGAATACTTTGGCTACCCTCATTCTCTCCGATTGGATCCCGACGGATCTTTCCGAAGCAAAGAACTTGCCGAATTTTGTGACCGAAGCCACATTTACTTGGACCTCATTCCCTCCGAAGCTCATTGGAAGCTGAGCGTGTGCAAAAGAGCCATACAGTCCACCAAGCACATTCTGGAGTGTTTGGTTGCGGACGATCCGGAGGTCTCAGCACAAGACGCTCTTTCAGAAACCATGCGAGTTCTCAACCACCGGGAGCAAATCCGAGGTTTCTCACCAATACAAATTGTTTTGGGACAAGCGCCCGATGAGGAAGGTAGGTTTTTCACTACCCTCTCATCACCTCAGCTGGACTGGATTTCTCCCTCTCCGAAACAACAGATGGAACAAGATCACCGTCGACGATTAGTGGCAGAAAAGGCATTCCTGGACTGGCAAGATCACGACCGTTTGTCCAGGGCAACACAATCCAAACATCGAAGAGTGCTAGATTTTTCCGCAGGTGACCTTGTTTACATTTGGAGAAAACAGCTGACGGGGGAAGACGCACAACAGAACAAGATTGGCCAAGGCCGCTTTGTGGGGCCTGCGAGAATGGTAGCGACAGAAAATAAACGGGACTCAGCAGGACAGATTGTCCAGGGAGTTCAATCTGGCTGGTTAGAGGCCGGCGACTCCTGAAGTGTTGCCCAGAACAACTCCGACATGCAACAGATCGCGAAACTGTGCTCCTGGAACTTCATGAAACAAGGCAATTGCCACGTTGGGATTTTCCTCGTGTGGCGGAAGAACTGGGTGGAACAGAATACGATGACCTGTCAGAACAACCGGAAGAGGACGAGTGGCTTCGAGCAGGGAATCCAGACCACGAGTGGCAACCCACTCACCGTCTGAGTGAGAAGAGACACAGGCCTCGCTCGAGAACTCCTCCTCCGAGACCCTACTCAGGCAGTCACACAGGAGCCGAAGAATACACTCCTACAGAACCGGCCAGGAGTCGCAGCCCACGACCCGGAAGATCAGAACCTTCCGGAGAAGGCTTCATGGCAGCTCCACATTGGTCAGAAATGGTTGACAGTTCCTTCTTTGTGGACAATACAACAAAACAACAACAAGAGGTCCTGTATAGCATCGAGATTGAGATGCCCAACTCACGACATGGCATGGACAACGCCCTCAAAGATCTCAAGAGCTTTTTGGTGACCGCTTTGAAGAGGAAGGAATAGAGGTTTCAGAACGGTTCCTCACCCCAGAAGAGCGCCTTCAATTCCAAGCAGCCAAGTCCATAGAGGTCAACAATTTCTTGGCAGCTAAGGCATTTGAAGCCTTGCCACCAGATGCTCAAATTTCTCGTGACCAGGCCATTAACATGCGCTGGATCCTGGTATGGAAAACAAAACCCGATGGCTCAAGAAAAGCAAAGGCTCGAGCAGTTCTACAAGGCTACCAAGATCCTCATTATGAGGAACGGGCCACTCATTCACCAACAACAACACGACAGTCCAGACAACTGCAGTTACAACTCAGTGCTTCCATGGGCTTTGACACCAAGAAAGGAGATGTCACTGGGGCTTAATCTCCAGTCTCGAGAATACCCAGATGACTTACTCTGCATTCCATGTCCTGAAATCCTGGAAGCTATGAATTTACCTCCAAGAAGCATCACCAAGGTCAAGAAAGCATGCTACGGTTTAGTTGATGCACCTTTGGAATGGTATAGATCTATCAGCTCATTCTTTGCCTCCCTGGGTTTGAAAAAGTCATGGAGCGATCCGTGTTGTTGGACACTCACTAAAGATGGGTGCCTGCGTGGCATCATCACAGGCCACGTAAATGACTTTCTGTTCTCAGGAAAAGCAGACGATCCCGTCTGGCAACAAGTCGAGGCCGCCATTCAGAAGGAGTACAAATGGTCAGACTGGGAACAGAAAAGCTTCGTACAATGCGGAGTGTTGATAGAACAAGAACATGATGGAACCTACTCCTTGTCACAAAAACAATATGTGGAAGACTTGAAATACATCAACATCCGAGCCTCTCGAAAAAGAGAAAAGCACTCACCCACAGAGGAGATTGAAAAGACACACCTTCAAGCTCTTCTGGGAGGAATTAGCTGGCACGCACAACAAGTTGCACCCCATTTTTCAGCAGAAGTCAGCCTGCTTCTTTCAGAGGTGAACCATAGCACGGTGGAAACTTTGTTTACGGCAAATCGTCTTTTGGACCATGTCAAGAGCATGAAAGACCACCGTCTCAAGATCCATCCCATTCCGCTGGAAGACTTGGTGATTGTAGCCTGGGCAGATGCAGCAGCTATCAACCGCTATGATGGCGGTAGCACCCAAGGCATTGTGATTGGAGCCACTTCTCGCTCTCTCCTAAAGGGAGAATGCACTCCTGTCTCCATTGTAGCTTGGAACTCGTCGAAAATTGGACGAGTATGCTCAAGTCCAGGTTCTTCAGAAGCCATTGCGGCAGCTAATGCCGAGGATTTATTGTATTTCTGTAGGTTCCAGATTTCTGAAATGATGGGAAACGAAGTGAACATACGTGACCCCAACACCACTGTCAACATGATAGACGGTTGCCTCGTTACTGACAGCCGCAATGTTTATGACAAGTTGAAGAATGAAGTGATAGTGGCTAAGGGCGCTGAAAGAAGAACTGATGTCACTCTCATGAGGATCAAAGAAGGACAATCACTAAATAAGGTGAAGGTCCGATGGGTCCACTCTGAGGCATCTTTTGTTCTACCAGCTCGGCAGTGCCTGAAAGATAGTTGAAGATCCGACTATGTCCTCTGCAAAGAAAAGGAAGGAGAAGGGCCAAGGGCCTTTGGAGGATCAACCAGGAGTCACACCAGACTCACCAGAACAACCAGCACTCCATACCCAACCTCCACAACATACATCACACGTCCACAAGGACGACGAAGAGGTTTGACTTGCGGCTTTTGGTTTTTCGTGGTCGGTTGCTTGTGTTTGTTGTTGCTTGTTCAAAGGAAGGGACATTTGGAAAGAGAGTGGCATGCAAGTGTTCACTTGGACGATCATCCCACGATAGCTAGTGTAGTGATCGAGTCGCACCGCGACCGAAGTTCTTTTGGTACAAGACATCCAGCAGACGGAAAACCGCCTGACGAGTCGCACTCACGCCATTCCTCATCGGTGTCCACGGGATCCAGTACCTTCGAGCTTGACACCTCCGGGCTACCGTGCATATATATATATATATGTATGTATAGTCAGTCCTATTAGTAAAGCCAGTGGTGTGCTCTTATAAGCAGTGGCATGCCTCTCCTTGAATAGCCTACTACAACTTAAAGCTGACTCCATTTGATTCTAAATGATGGTTCAACGAAGATGATCTCAAGAGTCACTGGAACCAACTACACTAGGTATGAGGATTGAGATTTGAGATGGAGGAAGACTCGGAAGACCCATCAAGGCAGAGATTGGGATGCGAACGTAGGTAGTGTGGATTAAATGGAGCAACAGGATGAAGGAAAAGGCACTAATTATAGTGCATAGATACACTGACAAAGACTTTCAGCGGAAAAAGAATTGCACACAATCTATTGAACACGCAAACAAACAGAATAGTTGTAGTTAGATCTGGCCAGCTAGCTTTGGTTGGGAAGGAGATTAAACGAGCGAATCAGTGCTGTCAACAACCTATTTCTCCTTCTTAGAGTCAAACCTAAAAAGCTCAATCAGCCAAACTCAGCAGACGTTCTCCAACATAAAATCTCCATGCTAAAACTTGCCATGTGGACATCTCGGCAAAGCTGCAAGACCAACAGGTGTCGATCGACTTGAGACTTCACAGCTGCGCGGCACATTTGAAGGGTCGCACTGCTCTGGCCGCGTTTAAACAACATGAGATGACAAGTAAGAACAAGAGAAAGATTTGCAGGTATCTTATTCTTGTTGGCAAATGCACTCCTTTCTTTTTCAGACTTTGACATTTGTCGGTCAGGGTGCACATGCAGTGGAGCTGGTTGAGCTATTTTTCTTCACTGCTGCTGCGGCGGTAACCGTGACAAGCATTGTCTGGACGCTCGGCCCCTCAAATGTCCATACGCGGATCTCGATATCGTGCCAGCATCTGGCAGGATAATGGGCATGTTAAGCAAGTGAGTTTAGCCAGGGAGACCAAAGCTGAAGCACAAGGAACAGCAAAGATCTGGGATGTGCTTTCTGAGGGTGTTTGTTTGACAGTTTGACACAGGTCTTGAGCTGTTCTTCCAACCTCAAACGGCTCATGATAGACGTGGCATTCAAGCTAAAAGGAGGCAGCAGTACGTCCCAGTAGTGCTCGGCTTGCCGATCCTTGAGCACGTATGAAAGTGTACTGTTTGTTCGAAAGTCTCGAGAACCTGGTCATGCGAAACAGCGCTCTGAGTCGACCGCATTCAGAAGCTTTCTGGCTTCGGGCTCGGTCCGCACATGCGTCACCTCAACATCTGAATTCTGAACCTTTTGCGAGGCTTGCTTTTCGTACTTGGGCCTTCCAGTTCTTGAAGCTCCTCTGCTTCACAACGCCTTCCCAAATGAGCACCTTGGATTCGCTAAGAGAATAGGTGCGATCAATACTTGCATGCTGAAGGTGGCTAAACTTAGGCTCAAAGGCTCTTAGGGTTGCACACAAAAGTCTTGAAGCTTGGGTGCAGTAACCTCATCCTGGTCTTCGTCGTCATCATCCTCAAAATAGAATCAAATTGTGTGAAGAACCGAAAGGAAAAGTAATGATGATAGTTAAAAGCAAACACCTGTGTTGACTAATGCTTTGAGATTTGCACATCATCTGCTTGCTCTTCGGTCCACTTGATGCGCCTTGAGCTTCACTAGAACCACAAATGCAACAGCTACATATTAAGTTTCCCCAAAAATCTAGGAACCCAAATCATTAGTGCGAGCGCTTCTTCAAGGAAGCTCCCAGCGGGGGAGCTCCCTTGAAGAAGCGTCCATATGTAGTAGCGTCCTAGTAGCTAGAAGTGTACAAGGTGCCAATTTAATTCAGTAAGAAGGCAGGGCCACGGGCTTTAAAAAAACACTTTCGTGCCAGTCTCCTTTGTCACTCCTTTGTTGTCACTTCTGTGTCACTTCTGCTGGTCCGTCTTCTGCTGGCCTGATCATGAGCTTCTTATAGCGTTTGACAGCACGAGGGCCGCCCTCCACAACTACCATGTTGGCAACCTGAGCTAAACAGCTGCCATGGAAGTTCTACGCCATTTGTTTTGGACGACAACTGGACTGATGATTGGACGTCTGACCGTGCGCTTACTCTCTGGCCAAGGGATCTAGCAATTTCGAGATCATTTGCGTGGGCAAGGCAAAGTGCTCACTAAGAAAGCCTTGCCCTTGGTATTTGCTTGTATGTTCGTTTCACGTTTTTGCAAATTGGATGATTTGTTCGGATGCTTTGGGAATGAGGAAATCTGGGAACCCCACAAACCCAAGACTGCTTCTGTTGCATTTTTTGAAAAGTGGTGTTGCAGTGTTGGATTGCTTTGCAAGAAGCAAAGAATGACCAGCCCTGAGTTCCATGCACCAGGGCAGGCTATGCAGCATCCAGTAAGGTGAAATTGCCTGGCATGGTAGCGTGCGAGTCACACATGGAAAAAAAAAGGTATATAAGGCCCCATTCAATAAAGATCTCAGTGCACTTTTTCAGCATCGTTGTGAACATAAAGCCACATCAGCATTTGCAAGTGCACTGCCAAAGGCCTCAACCAAGAGCTGGCTTACACAAACTAGATTTAAAACAACAAAATCAACCTATACAGACTCTTTGGGGGCCCTCCCACAAAAAAACGTTTTCAAAGACTCAAAAAGAAACAAACGACGTAAACAACACACATATATAAGTATATATATATATACAGACATACAGACTCTTTGGGGACACCCCCTTGCCAGCCCAACTGTAACAATTGAAGCCAAGAAACATCTAGGGTGAATTGTTTACAGTACCTTTTCTGCGGTCGTGTGAAGATGCTCGCTGAGCATCAGTGACTTGACATGTCACATGTGTTTTTCACTTGTCCGGACCTCAGACTGACCGCCTGCAGAGGGCGGGCTCAAGAAGCTCAAAAGAGAGCTACGCGCATGTGGCGTTCATTCGCCCCCTCCGGTTCAAACTCGTTCGTTCCACCCGCTTCTCCTTGCAGTGGACCCTCGTGAGCCGCTACACCAATTCGACATTGGTAGCGGAGCCCGGTCGCCCCGGGCTCCCTACCTGCGCACTCGCGACCACGAGCTCTTCGTCCCAGCTGAGACCCGCGGCGCGTTTGGCATTGGTAGTTCAACCAGATAGGCAGAGCCCTTTGTCCCTGAGAACCGCATCACGCCGCCAGGCCGCAGGCATCGGGATCGAGCTCAGCCAAGACGGCACGTCCTTTCTGGACTTGAGGGACAGCTACGCGCCGCTCTTCTCAGGCCAACCGGCTGACTACAGGGAGTGGAGAGAGAGGATTCAGCTCTACCATGCACCGGAAGATGTCCTTGACCAAGCGGTCAAATGAAAGTGTCCTCAACATCGTAGGCTCCTTCACTGGCGTGACCTGGCGATTGTTCCAGGATTGGGGTATCGAAAGACTATGAGGATGAGGGCTATCCGGATGATGACATGTGGGAGGCCGGATACTATGAGGATGATGAACAATGGGCTGAAGAACCACAAGACTATGAGGTCTATGATGAAGGCCAAGACTCTGACCAAGACGCTGGCCACTACGGTGAAGAAAAATAACCCTGGCCGGACAATGAAGAGGTCAACAGCCCATCCCAAATGGCCTCCGCTTATGACGCCGCCTTTGCCTCCTACACGGATGCCCGTCGTCGCTTCCAAGAACTCAAGACAGCTCGAGGTTACCTTCCCATCGTCGCCTTGACGGACGGAGGAGGTGGCTCATCGTCCAATGTCACTTCTCCAGCCTCAGCTGCCTCATGGCTAACAAAAGGAAGCAGGACATTGGGCAGCCAATTGCCCACAGAGTTCATTGATCCCAACAACACGCACACCTGCCACCAAGCGCCCTGCAGCGAATAGTGGAGCGCAAGCTTGAGACTGCCCTCAGCACCCCACACCGGCGCTGAGAGACCTGAATGCGTGATGCTTGATCCTGGAGCCCGCGCTTTCTTGTCTGGCTATGGCCCCTTCAGAAGATACCTGGATCATCTTGGACTTCCCCATTCAGGTCGACGATCATCAAGATGAGAAAAGGTCGGAGACGCTTCCAGTTTGGAGGCGATGCCTCCATGTGGTCAGATTGGCCTGTCCCCACGTAAGTGGACGGCAAGTATGGCACCATCGAGCTCCTCTTGCTACCAGGCAACACGCCTACGCTATGTGGCCGTCCGATCATCAAAGCACTGGGCATGACCATGCATTTCGCTCAGAAGCGCCTTCGCGTCGGAAGCTCACCTTGGATCCCGGCGAAGACAAGGCGAGTACCTCTGGTCCCTCACGAATGCAGCATCCACTATGACCCAGAACGACCTGAATTTGTCCTGCGGACCCATGACCAGGGCATGGAACAAGATGAGGGGCACAAGCTCAACGACTTTATGATGGCTGAGCACGGCCTCACCTCCTGCCACTTCGCAGGCATGACTTCACTCAGCTCAACTTGTCCGCCTATGTCACCAAGGAGCTACATCGACCTGAGCGTCCTCGTGTACTCTGGGAAGTATACTGTGGGAAAGCTCGAACGGCACAGATGGCTGAAGCTTTGGGCATGGAAGTCCGACGCTCCTCCTATGAAACCGGCTGGGACTTCGAGCAGTTGAAGCACCAAGATGAATTCCTAGCGCTACTTGAAGAAGAAGCCCCTGATGAGCTGCTCTGGAGCCGCACGCAGTCCCTTGGCCGCCGGACACCTGCCCAGAAAGAGGCATTGAAAGCTGCTCGCCAACATCATCACGACAGCCACCTGATGTTCACCCGAAGAGGCTATCTATGCCAAGTGAAGGGCGGCAGACATGCCACTATCGAGCAGCCGAAGCATGCGCCTTCATGGCAGACCTGGCAGACGAGCCGACTTTCGCACTGTCGCTATGGAGCTCAGTGTTTGGACATTGATGGCATTTGGAAGCCAGTACAGAAGAACACCACCTTCCACACGACCAAACAGGCCGTTCAAGACGCCTTCACTCTGCAACGCCAACACGACCATGAGCATTGTCCTTTGGAAGGCGCGGCACCCGGCTACGGTTCTCGCGAGGAGTATCAACCTGCACAAGCTGCCACTTTGGCAGCAGCACTGGCAGTTGATGAAGTTCCCATCTACTGGGAAACGACAAGCTCCCTGATTCGACTTCGAAGCCACACCAAGCAGGACGCCATCCGCACAGATCCCTCGCCGAAGGCGCTGGTTCAACTGCTAGAGACTCGTGGAGCTTCTGAGCCATCCAAGCGGCCATGACCTACCGATGATTTGCCTGCGCCGAGTACAAGAAACCTGCACAGGCTGCACCAGCTGCCATGCCCACTGTCCTCAACTTCAACGAAGTTCTGCAGGCCGATGTGATGTGGTTGCGACGTGGCACCGTCAAGTATGCCATCGTGAGTTTGGTCGATAGCGCCACACCACGCGCTACACTGCGGCAGTGCTGATCAACTCCAAGCGCACTGACAACTACATCAAGGCCCTTGAACGAGCATGGATTTCCCACTTTAGGCCCCACCTACGACCCTGCTCACTGATGAAGGCCGAGGTTGGCTCAGCAACCAGATGGATGAATGGACTGCAGCCCACATCAAGCACTCCGTGGCACCTGGCGAGGCTTATGAGCGCCTGGCACTGTTTGAACGTCGCCACGCAATGATCAGGAAGTCCGTTGAGGTCTACCTTGATGACATGGCCGCCGATGGACCGTCACACATCCAAGAAGCTCTCAGCTACATCGTTCGACAGATGAACAGTGCACCTGGCGTTGCTGGTTTCTCTCCGTCTCAGTGGGCGTTGGGCTACCAGCCCTCCCTGGCTGGTGATTTGCTGTCTGATGCCACTGAACCGGCACACTTTGGCGGCAATCAGACCTTCGAAGACACGCTCGCCAAGAGACACGCTGCCCGCAAGGCCCTCAATGATGCTGACGCCGATCGTCGCCTGCGTCGTGCCTTGAACCTCAAGTACAAGGGCATCAATGCTGAGTACGCTTTGGGTCAACAAGTATGGTTTTGGCGAGATGCAAGACAGCCCGACCTGGTGAAGATTCGTTGGCTCGGCCCTGCACAGGTTGTGATGAAAGAGAGACGTCCCGCGGAAGGCGAAAGCGATGGCCCTGTCTCAGTCTACTGGCTCGCTTTCAAGTCGCAGCTGGTCCGATGTGCACCTCACCATGTGCGGGCTGATGTGAAGAGCTTCAACCACGCCATCGATGACACCCAGACGGCTTTGAATACAGTGGGCCAGCTTCGCCCTCATGGCGTGATCCGGTTCTATGACCTGCGCCGCACCAATCACCAGAACTTGGCAGATGTGGAGGAGGGTGAACACGGTGAAGGATCCAACATGGACACAGAGTCAGAGCATGAAATGATACCGCCACGACAACGACCAAGGCTCACTCTCTGGGTCCGCCAGCACCAGCTGTTGCCGAGCAAGCGCCAGCATCACAGCCAGAACCGGCAGAAGCACCGCCGCAGCCCACGGCACCAACTGCTCTGGAAGAAGGCCCAGTTGCAGAGACACCCGAAGAGTTGCCCGTTTCGAGGATGATGATGGACTCTCGGAACCGAGCCAGGAACCAAGTGAGGAGCCACCAGCAGCTATCAACAGTCCAATACTGGGCCCTGCAACCGCAGCACTTTACGAACCAGCAACAACAGACAGGAGACACTCAGCTTTGCACCCTTTCGGCATCGCCGCACACACGGGCAAGCACCATACGAAGACACCAGCACAGCAACCACAAACACCTCGTCCGAGGCACAGCCAAACATACCACGACCACCAGCAGAACAGCTTGCCAACTTCTCATTTCAAGAATGGAAAGGGGACATCATCCCAAGCTGGAGTATTGCGGTTGCGAGCTTGAGAACACTCCTGAAGGCGGAAGGCGCCTACATCAAGAAAGCTACTTCAGCAAGGCCAAACCCATCACGATCTCCAAGAATCGCAACCTCCAAGAACCGCTCAATCATTGGCCTGCTGCGCAGACATCACCACATTTGCAGTGCTCCACATCCACGCTCTCCGGCCAGGTCTCCAAGGCTACCGTGAACACTGCAACTGAGCGCAACAAACTACTGAAGTTTGCCAAAGAGCACAAGGACGTCAGCCTCTACTACAACCACATTGGGCACCCTTCAGGGCTGCAGTTGTTGTGTTTCTTTGATGCTGGATTCACCGCTCGTGCAGATGGTAGCTCGCAAGGTGGTTACATCCAGATGCTTGTCAACAAGCAGCTGTTCACCTCCGGCGAGGATTAAAAAAATATCATGTACTTGACTGGCGCAGCTTTCGCACAAGAAGGAAATGATGGAGGAGCTTGGAGGACAACTTCGTTGGATGAGCTCAGAAAGGCAAATCGCCGACGGACTCACCAAAGAGTCGGCAAGAGCTCTCCTTGCTGCTCGCCTT